TGATGACACCCTTACTAAATATATAATGAAAACTCGATCTCGACAACTTAGAACGACATATTCTGGCAATTGAAATGCTGGTATAATTTTAGAAGTATTAATTAATTAAGTGAAATGTAGAATGATTATTTCATATCATCCTTGCAACTGTGCAATTAATTTATTAGTAATTTTAAAAATTGTATGTAATAACCATACGGCTATATCAGTCAGCAATCTTGGTGAACATAATCATACTTGAAACTATAACAAACTATTGCAAAGCCAAAATAACCTTTTCAAAGATCTAATCCTGTATAAAATTTGAATAATTTTCATAATTAATTATAAAATAGATTCAATCATTGTGTTGAGCACGCGTTTGCTAGTGTCTCTCTATCAATAATTCAAAAATATACAAAATCAATCAAAGTAATAGATTGCTGTTTCCAGCTATGTTTGTCAATTCAAATATCTTCGTGTACTTATAATTATATTCATATTTAGAGTATGTAATACATGATCGTGATACAATGTATTTCATTGTGAGATTTAGCTCCAATGAACACATAATATAGATAAAATGCAGTGCAATTGTACTGTTTTTCAGCCGACATTAAGTCATCAAAAGTTATCATTATATTATCATTTGACCGCCGGTATTTGTTTTTACAAATCATGCTATTTTACAGGCCAGGTGAGTGTTGGCATCATTATCCTAGTTGTGGTCCTTTCACTGATACTGCTAATCATTTTGTGTATTGGGATAATTTGGTTTTGTCCTTTCTGTCAGTCAAAAAAGCGGAAGTTACAAGTATGCTGCAAATTAGATGGTGAGTATGACTCGGCCTACTTGTATGTATTGGTCTAATTATTGAAATGTGATTGTATATAATTCACTTCATATTACAATGAAGACTTCAGTGTCAACTAGCTATAAATAAGATATATCAGTTGATAACATATTTAACATAGTTTTATTCACTCTGTCGTCTGTCGGCTCTTAAGATTGTGGTGCATGCAAGTTAATTTTCATGAATGATTTACGGCCTTATTTCCCTGTGCGAAGCATGCATACGCTGCATCATTGTCAGGATCAGGACATGTTTAATATAATGCGCGAAAACAACATTCGTTATAAAAAAATTGCCACCGGTCGTCTAGTTTGATCTGATAAACAAACATTTGGCATCAATGTATTATTGTGTCAAATGCATTTTACAAGGTTCAAACAAAATCTATCAATACACGACCTCGATTTCCTTCCGCAATAGCAGAATAGCCTAATTTTGAGCATTTTGGTAACCTTGTTAACATAACCTTGATGGTCGCCAAATGACTTGCATAATGGTGTGATTACGTCTGCTGTATGTACCAATTTTTAAGTGAGGTAGTCCACATGTAACAGAGATACGGTTTTGGAATAATACCAATTTTGATTTTCATTAACATTAAAATGATCGGCATTCATAAATCCGATCACCAGACTAATACATGCGCGTATGTGTGAGAGAATACATAATTATGATATATATTAAATTTAGCAGGATCGGTTAAGGAACGTTACAGACATGGCGCTGGCAAAGCATTCGTTAGTACACATGTCGTAAAAATCTGAATTATGCACATCATTGTTCAATATTATCAGATGTTTCTAGCGCGGATATACAAAATTAAACCTTACACACTCGCGGTAAAGTTTCGGTAAATCATAAATGCTTTAATTAATAATTTTTATCACAAAATGGCAGTAACTCGACCACCTTGAATTGAATTACAACGAAAGAATGAACGTGAATTATGTATCATGAAATGCATGTGTGTAGTGTGGTCGATCGAATCAAGCGTGCCTTATTTGCAGGTAGAGTCGGTAGAGTTTGACACAATGTCAAAACACATGTCCATTTTGGGACGTTTGTAGTTTACCTTACCAATGACGACCCTCATGATTTTTCATGATTTATATTAAAATTTGATCAAAGTCTGCGTAGCTTAGTAAAGGGGGAATGGTATGATGCAATTGATATTACTATTATTAATATAATTGAATCGTACCTTTCGCTTTGACTAAACATATAGTAAGCTTCGCAAATATTTCCATGTTAAGTCACGGGATATTCAACTTTTATATAATTAAACTTGAATTAAAACGCAACCCTTATATAGAGTCGTGTTTTAATCTAAACATAACGCAACTATAATGACATTTAACCTAATGTGTTCCGTCACAACGATGGTAAGCCGTGTATGTGTACTTTGACTGAAGTGCGATTAATATTAGTGTAATATTAACTTTTCGTGTATCCACATAGATTTAAAAATGCTTACATGAGGCATTTTAGCGGTGCCAACTATTTTGGATTACGTGTTTAAAACAATATCTTATAACGCTCTATATTGTACTCGTTTGTATTTGACAGAGAAAACAGAAGACTGAGAGATGAATTGGTAGTATACCAATGGACAGTTGTACAAAGAAGACTGGTAAATTGCTTAAAAGCTGTTGAAGACAATCTAGCTGTAGATAATATTATTTGCAAATTGAAACATTTACTGTATCTTAATCAAGCGTCGAAATAATATTTAATAGTTTAAATGGATATTGATAACCATGGAGATATGGTAGTGTTAAATTTCTACACTCTGTTGACGTATTTTAATAGATAATTAACTGTCATTTGTCACGATTGCTATTGCTCATCAGTTTTCTAATAACATTTGATTTAGTTTTTCAAATACACTAATCTTGTTTTAATATTCAGTGAATAACTCTAACACGGCTGTCGAATATACATACGTGCTCTAGTGTAAATGCTCGCATATTAAATCTCAGTGGATTGCACTAAATGCTCAAGAATAATTTCAATAACACATTTAGTCAACTACGTAAACTAATACTTGGCAATATCATTAATTATTAAAACAACATGAATGAAGTAAGTCACCTTCCAGCATTCTGAACTAATTTAGCAAATAGCAAGTCGCGTGATTTTCAGTGAAGGGTTAATCAAATACAAAATGAGACCAAGGCGGCCGTCTCTTCTGCTTGAGTTAGTACGCTATGTTAAACATACAATGTATACTGATTATAAGGCCATACATAATGTGGTTACCAAGAACAGACTAAGTTGGCTAATCTGACTCGTGCACACATTATCATGTTTGTATAGATGAATTAACATAAATTTGCATATGACTATTAATGCTATTATTACCATATAAATGGATTAATCATATAAATGAATACAACTCTGAGGGCTGCCATGCTTTTTTATTATTATAGGACGGTTACGCTTAATCGTTATATATTTTGAATTAGCATTTCCTAATATGGTATGTTGTAAATACCCAGTGCAATACCGAAAAATTATGGCACGCTGTAACTTATGGCGTTACGGTGACAGATTGAGCTGTCTCAGAAATTAAATATTTATTTAAATACGAAAGACGCTTACAAACCTTGGTAAGATGTATTCACGTAATTATTTAAGACACCTCCATTTCCTAAACCTGTGTGGATCGATTAAAATATGAATGACCGGAGACCACCGAAAGTGTTGTTGTTATATTTTGTTGTTATAAACAGAAAAAAAAACACGTTCTGACGCTATTAATAAATTTTATATGGTCAAACCCCGTTATAAGGGCATGTCTCTTAGGTATTTGAGTTCAATTTCAACTCATCTATGTTAAACGTTCTACACTAATATGATCAGATCGTCCTCAAATATTGACGACCTAACTCTCATTCAGGCTATGGTTAATTGTTCACACCAAATGGGGAAGATAAATAACACTTACACATCGTACACATGACTGAACTATATACGACCAGGTGATTAAATCATCGTTTTTTGACAGATTTTAAATACTAGCGGCGAGTCAGTCAGTTGAACACAACGGTGGTCAGCGTGACCCTGGGAAGGTACTAGTGATAAATCTGTATCTACTAGATGTAAACGCACTCGTCTCCTAATGTTGTTAGTTATTCTTTTGTGTTAAATGTGGTCTTGCCGGTACGGATGTGGTGTGTGTTATTCTCTCAAATCATAGCCTCTCTAAGCCGATATTGATAAAGTCTACACCTGCGAGATAACCCTTTATAGTGAGATTAAAGGTGTATTACAGAGTTTCAAAGAATTTAGTTTAAAAGAGGCTCTATAAACGCAAATATCAAGCATGAAGTTCGTGATTATATCTGTGCGGTGACGCTCTGTAGCGTATGTCAACTGTCAAAATATTCCTCTCAGTAAACAGAACAGGGTTGATGACGAAA